ATCTAACGTCTTCCTTTGCCAGTCATCTCCGGGTGTCCCCTCATTTCAAAAGCCTGATACCAAATCTTTGCATGCTAGACATCGCGCGCACGGGGTCTCTACCATAGTAGGTTAAAATATAGGACATTTGCAGTGTTGATACCGCTATTACAACGGTTAGGTAAGCAAACTAATTAGCAATTGGTCCTGCTTTGCTGCAACCAAATCCTTCAGTCACTCTAGTGCTGTGCCATTCTCTAAGCTCCAGTGAAGAGATTTATCCTTATCTGCAATCATGTCTGCAAGCACCAAAGACACCCTCTGATTCTTGTGGAAGGTCACTGTTAAACCAGCGCTCACTTACAGCAGTGTTTTGAAGAGCTGGTTAGGCAGCTCCGTTGACTACCACGTGCTAACTCACTGCCCTGTGGCTTACAAACTTATCAGTTCTCACCAATAAATAAAACCAATAAATAGCAAACACCTCCAATGCTGTGATGGGCTCAGCAAAATGTTCTTTAACACACTGCTGATATTACAGCTGTTAGAAAACAGGACAGTCCAGTAAACATGCAAAAGAATTGAATGGCCAGACATAATGTGATGGTGATGCAGAATTAGGCATGGCAATGCTGAATGTTTTTGCCTCAGCTCCACATAGGGTGGAGACAGCGCTTTGACATAAGGCTTGCTCAAATGGAGCCCAACTTTGGGCAAGGGATTGACCCTTCGTCTCTGACCTTTTCACCAGCTCTACGGCAATAGTCTTTTGCACAAATATTACATAGCTTATATAGATTATATTGGAATATATCTGCCAGCGTGGACAGACTTGTGCATGCATTTTATTGTCTTTTCTAATGACTGATCTGATCGAGGATATAATTGATGTTCTGTGTAAATTTGGCCTGTCAGCAGTGTTTTGTGTGTGCTACACACGTATCACCCTCTCATTCTCTCATGGTGTAGCTTAGTCGAAGCTAATTAGCTATGAAGCAACCGTTACTAAAGAGCCTGTCAATGCCATCCCGTATGAAACCACTCCAGCCCTGTAAACATATTGGGTTTGTTGGAAATTTCTTCCTAAACAGAGTTCTGTTTGACACGTACTACCATTAACAGTGGCATAGTAATTTGTTCAATTAATGTGTGCATGCAACAGCATTTGGTAGAAACTTAAGTGTTACTACCGGGATGTTTCACTGAAATTGTTACCATTTTAATAAATATAAGGATCACATTGGTGGGGAACTATAAGAGTCAGGTTGTGATTGAAAACAACTAGATCTCTTCTGAATGTCCATACTAGAAAGCAGAGTGAAAAGTCATTCATGTGGATAACTGCAGACATTTTAAGACATTCTCTCCTGGAAGGTATTCATAGTGTTGCACTTAGCTGTACACACGAAAGTGGCAGACATTGTTATGTAAGGAATGAAAAAGGGTCTTAAGGGAGAAGTTCAGACCTGCCTCCTTTGTCACCTCTGCACAGCTGGCCAGTCACTGTTAAGTGAGCGTAAATGACGTATTGTTTGTTTTGTAAAGTTACAGAAACGGTGGGACACAGCCATCCCAATTCTGATGTAGGAGACTTAGTAATCACTTTAAGTTTTACCTTGCGAAAACCTGTTGCAATTGACTCTTGATGTGTATTTTTTTAGTGTATGGAACTATACAACACACTTTTACAAGGTTTTGTAAAGTAAAATGAAAACAAATGTCAGTCCGGATCTCCTGTAGGAGGAAAACTTAAAGGATAAGCACCACCTTTCTCAATCCTCTGTAATAACAACATATCAAAGTTTAAAAGCAATTTTCAACCATTAGCAACTCTTAAGAGGCTTGGTACACCTGTGAAATTGTCACTGAAATAGACAATAGGTGATTAGTTTTCTTACTCAAAGCGGCTCCACTTGTGTCACTCCCTTTACTGTCAATGTAAACATTTTCATTGTACAGTAATACTTGACTGTCCCATGGTTTGCTTGCTAGCACGTCTTTATGTTAGGAAATGATAGAAATGGAAACTTTGTAATAAAGGCGTGACTTACTGCTTATGCCTTCTTGTCTATCTATTATCCCTAATTTGGAGACTAAACTTGGTCTTCCTAAAGTTTTTGGATTTGCTGTCAGTGTTATGCTCATTAGTGTAGACATGCTTTTTAAATACAATTCTTGTCTGTTTTTGTAGGTGATCATCAAGGGGGATTGTCTGTATACTGTTTCCAAAACTCTGTTGGGAGGGTAGTGTTCTGTTCCCTAGCTGGATTATAACAATCCGTCAATCCTGTGCTTCCCGCTGGGAAAACCCCACAGGTTCCACTCAAGTACAAACACAAATACGCATCTAACCATCCTCCTCCTTACCACTTAGGCCATCCCAGTGAGGTCTGGCCTTAATCCTGTCCCACGTACCCACCTGCCACCCTGCTTGCCTTTGTACTCTATCCTGTAAAATCCTCCACACAGGTCCTGTTTGATATTATGTTGTAGCAGATATATAAATGAGCACTTACAAATAATAAATAAACACTTGCACATTTATCTGCACAAATGCAGTTCTGGTGCTACAAGTACTGTCTTTTTAAATAGTGGAAGACTTGACATCATGCTGCTGCTGACTGTTAGTCTTCATTACACTTATGGGGAGTCCCATAATCAATGGAGTGTCACCAGTGTAGCCCAACACTGGTCCTCTGTTAAATACCCCCCCCCCCCCCCCAAAATCCAGATAAACCCCTGTCCTCATACTTGGAAAGGGATTGGGGGGAGGGCGACCAGCCAGGAAGGTTAGGAACATGAGCATGACTGGGATGCTGGGCTTTAGCTGGTTAGGTAGGGGCTTCTTTTGCTCCATTTGGCTGCTTATTGTGGACCAGATATGGAAATGTATTTGGGACAACCAAGCTAAATCTTCTACTGATTTGCTGCTATAGTCTTTGGTATTTGGCTATGACTAGTGGCTTATGTTACATAAGGTAAACTAACTTAGCTAAATATTGCTGTGAGACTGTCACTGACTTTCAGTTCACTGACTTGAGGTGTCCTCTGTATATGTGCTACTTTTACAGTCCATTAAACATAAGTAAAAAAAATATAACTTGCTGCTTTGAGCAGTTGTTCAACGCTATTCGGCTTGTTGGCTTTACTAAATTAATGTGTCTCCATCTCTTTGCCACACACGACAAAATACAGGCTGTTTATTAATGGCTGAATCGAATGTTGTTGAATCTATTTTGTGTGCACAATCTACAGCTGGTACCATTTGTCATGCTTTCATGCTCTGTCACAAAAAAGACAGCTTGTGATTGTCTGCATTCCTATAAGGAAGTTTAAAACCAAAAATATTGGTAAACCAATAATTTGTCTATACCTACTTCACATTGAGATGTGGGCTCCGTACATATGATTCAGGAGAGGATAAAGCACAGGTCTGTGATACAGAGCTATGTTATTTTGGATAAAGACAAGATTTGGAATGTCAAGTGTTGGGTCGAGGGAACGAAAAGGACCAAATGCCTCAGTTCATGTTAATACCTCTGTATCCTGTTCTTCCATCAGCCTTTCTCAGCATGCCAGCATATTATGGAGGAACTGATACTGGGAGGAGAAACATGACCCTCTGCATCCACACCAATACCCATCTGTAAGGAATGTGAAACCTGTGCTGTCCTAGTAATTAATGCTTGGTTTTGTTTTCTTCTTGTTTTTCAGGATTCTCTGGACTCTGCAGCAGGTGTTTTTCTAGTTGGATTTTAGCCCACTGACATTCTCCCACAGCCATGGAATCGGTATGTTGACTAATAACATCTTTTTGAAACTATAACCAGCAGACTTGATGACTTGACTCTGTCCTTTTAAAAGCTGCTTTCATTGGAACACTATTACTAAAGCACTTGTTTCTTAAAAATATGTTTTTTTGGCTTTTTTGTGGTCTATCTGTTTGTGCTGGCATCAAAATACATGGTATGCGGTACTTTATGGTGTGTGTATGTGTGGGCATTCTTATGAATACATGCGTTCATAATTTTACTATATAAGGAATATTGGCCCCTCATTTTTTGCTTTGTGGAATGGAGTTTATGGTCGTGTCAACCATGTGACATGTGAAAACATGTATTTTGAATTGCATATTTGTTAATTGTTTAGCTCAGCGAATGACATCATTACAATAATGGAACATCAGATAGCTCAGTATTTCTTGTTTAACCAAACAACCAATGTAGTGGGTTATTTTTCTCTTTCTTTTTGAAGTGTGACGAAAGACTCTGTGCTTGAGCGTACTCGTATACATATGTGTTTAAATACTACAAGCATCAGGCTCTACCCTTTATTGTTAGTCATGCAGGAGACTGTGTGTGCAGGAGTTGCTTGTACCAACAGGCAGGCTGAAAGCACAGCAGCATTGAACTCTATCCACTGGAATGCATCTATTAAGAACAAGGCTTAGTGCATGCCTAACCTCTGCTTTCCTGTCCCTTTGTCAGAGGCTGTGTCTATGTCTGTGCGCACACGTGTGTGTGTGTTAGACTGTGAAAAGTAGGTCACAGCTTCTGTAATGCAGAACTAACATGTGTCCAACAAAAGCCCTCCATTACCCCATCTCTGTCTCACTCACACATGCACTGCAGATGCTAAAATGCATATTCCTGTCAGTGAAAGCTTTGATCAGAAATTCTAGATTATGAATGTCCACATTAACTGTACATCTTAATGTCACACTAGTTAACAATGTAGTGCAAAAGCAGTGCAAGCAAAGTTCCACACCAATCTAACTACTGTCAAAGTATTCAAGCCACAGCTTAATAAAGGACAGTTGTTCAAATTTCTGTCAAGAAACACGCAGATTTTACCTGATTGTTGCTATCATGGATTGCATTCATTGCAAAGGTGTGTCAATATATCCGAGCAAGTTAACTTTCATATACATTAAACAAGCAAACAACGCTGCTGTTTCCTTGAATGTATAAATTGTGTAAATAGCAAACACATTTTCTGGTTTAAAAGCTGTGGACCAATGATTTGTCGTCTTTACCAACTGAAAAACGACAAAAATATGACACATCTACATTTTTTAAGTTGTAAATGTGCAAAACAATTGACCAAGAATAATAAAAGACCTGCACCACTTATGTATTTTTCAATATGCATAGATTAAAATGTGTGCTAGCTATCCCCTATAGCAACACATGGCCTGTCTGTATCATATTTATGCAGGCAGCTGTTAGCTATCCGGCATGGGCAGACTGAGTAAAGTAGAATCCACACACCGTTCAGTCTATTTGCACGGCTTGACATCTCGTAGCCAGAGTTGACATCTCTTTAGCCAACACAATTTGAGCTCAGATCAGCGTACAACATCTTTTTATCAGTTTTATCCCTCTCATAGAAGCAATCATTAGATTGGTTATGAAATAGCCCCAGTCGGCTTACCATCTCAGGTCACGATAGTCCTGTAAACTGCAGCCGGTTTGTAAACACTAACTGTTTATTCATGCCACAGCTTTACGGGAATGTCATGACTCAAGCCTGCTAATATAGCCAGCTTGGGCACGTTTTCTGAGAAAAGGTTGATCTTGGGATTTTAAGAATAGATATTGGATCATTGAAACACATTTTTTCAAACTAGCCTTAACAAACAGCTGCAACACCAGCTCATCCCCTTCTTCTTCTGCACAAATTCATCTCCATCCCGCTTTTTCGCTGACCCTCTTCCACTCCTCCCATCCGCCTCTCTTGTGTCTGTGTGCCTGTGGCTGTGCACCAGCAAGAGCTGCTACTGTTTACCTCTCCGAGCTGCCTATATCTGCTTACTGTCAGTGGAAACCAAGGAAACTGATCACAAAGCTTATTATGGTGCCAGGAGTGGAATACATGCTGTGTACGTGTGTGCCTATGGGGGCTGGATACACACAAACCCTCTGCCACTCTCCTCCTCCCTTTCCTCATGTGATACCAGTCACATGCTTTCCAGGCAAGCAGCTAAGTAAATCAGAATCAGACTTTTATTTTTAACTGCTTTAAATCCTCCATCTCTAGTCTCCATGGTTGGCAGAACTGGCCGAGGTGCCTGTTGATCACTTGTCCTTTTCTTCACTGTGTGTTTCTCTTTCACTATGTACTCGTGCCACTTCCCCTCAGCCTCATTAAGCTCATGCCATATCTGACTACCTGCGTCCCTATCTTGGTTTTTATGTGGGTTTGACAGTGCTCTGCTTTGGCATGAAAGCGTGAATATAGAGCCACTACAATGTACCAGTCTAGTAGATATTCACACGTATATTCTTCTATGCTCTATTACTGAAACGCTTGAATAAGACAATGTAGAGCAGAAGCTGTTGCATAATAAGCATTAACTTTTTATAACAACTGAATAAAGAGGTCCTACCACACTAGACAAGAGCATTTGCACCAGCTGCTTTATTGAATCATAAATATAAAATCAACATTGCAAATGTGACAACCGTGTGTAGCACATAGAAAAAATATACATATCTGCTATAAATGTACAGTTTAGCAGTGATGTATTTGGAACCACAATGTCAGGCCTTGTGTGAACTTTGACCTCTGTTTATTTACATGTAGTTCTATCTCTTAATCTAGTATGAGTAGCCAGAGTGTGTTGATTGTGTCATTATCGCATGTCATACACAGGCTTTTTGTATGAAAGCGGTGTCTCCTCTGTATGCTGTAGCCAGTCATCAACAGTGCTGATATCATTCTGACTGTTATCTTTCAGCAGAGGAGCTGAGAGGGGAAGTGTCTGTGTGTTCTATTTGGTGCAGATGAAAGGCTAAAATTCTTGTAATCACACCTTCTCCACTGGTTTCCTCACAACTTCCCTTCTATCTCTTCTGCCTCCAAAGCAGGGCTTGTTCTTCAGTGGGGATTAGTGTGTGCAGCAGCTCTGAACAGGGAAGTGGGCCCTGCCAGTCACATTACATAACTCACCTCCGCTAGTGCGGCTCGGCCTGGCCCGGCTGGAGAGACTACTATAGAGGCTTTGTTTTCCCAGCCTTCCCTTCTTCCTCCCCTCTGCTGCTCCTCCTCCTCCCCCTCAGGCAGGCTGCATACTGATGTCGTATAGAAGGAGTCTGTTTGCAATGAACAGGCTAGGCACTGTGGCATGGAGTGTGGAGAAATACGCTAATAGCAAGCTGAATGGCAGGGAGTTCACATCTTAGGCAGAGGAATTTGAGGTTTCCCGTAAGTCGTACAGTTTCAGGGAGATAGGAAGCAAGGAAATGCAGTACTATGCATTACTGCTTGCCCATGGGGTTCCACATCAGCATGCTCTGGAGACACAGAAGGTCAGAGTTCATTTGAGGAGAGTTAGAGCTCTGTGTCACATTTCTCAAGGTTCACAGGTTGTGAGATGGTTTGTAAGGATTCCTTAATTCTGTGTTTTTGTGCAGTTGTCCTGTGCAATCGAACACACACACACACACACACACACACACACACACACACACACACACACACACACACACACACACACACACTCTTCCCCACCTAGCCGTCTGCCACTGCTAGAAGGAAGGAAAAAGGGAGGCGAGTGTGCTCTGTGTAATAGAGGTTCAGACCAGTTAGGGCTCTGTGTGTATCTTCCAGCTTTGAGCCCAAGGCTTACTTTTTATTTTTGTGTTTTTCTGTCTTAGGCGTTGTCGAATTTAACTGTTGAGAGGAGTTCAGTAGTGAAATGATAAAGACAGAAGGTAACTCGGCACCAGAAGACACTTGCCTGTCACAAACTAACATGATGCTGCAACAGTTAATGTAGTTCATACTGCATTTTTGCACAGTAAATTAGGTTGGGTATTTCTCTCGTTTATTATTCTGAAGGGTTTTGGTTATTTATATCTGTGCAAAGGTAATAATATATGTACAAGGGTCAGACAAGTCATCTATCATTGCAAAACCTATTGGCAAGTATTTGCGTAGAAATAAAATGGCCAATAAATGTCAATACTAGAAACATTTCATTCACACGAAAGTCCCTCCGGCTGTCTAAAAATAAATAAAACTAGAACTGCAAGCAGTTGTGCTTGTTTAGTTGCCCAGCGCAAGCTGCCCCCCTGGCCCCGCAAGTCGGCCCGGGCGCCCCACCTTGGCTCGGGGGGCCCGTGGAGAATAAATGAGCAGATTTATAAATGAAAGGGTCTTGCAGTTATGGAGATCTGAAATGAATGTATGTCTATGGGAGTGTTATTTGATTTCCAATTAATAGCGCCACAGCCCCTCGGGAGGGCGTGCCAGATAAGATCCCCGAGTTTGGTGCATATCGGCCATTCCAAACGATCTGACGTGACATCCTGGTTTTAGCGTTTGCGCAAATATTTGTTAGCTTATAATTCGGACGTTTTTTGTTCCCTCTATAAACATTTAATGGCTCGGCCAAGAGATGGTCTGTGCCAAGTTTCGTGCCAATCGGACTTGTGGCTTCAGAGGAGTTACTTAAAATAGGTTTTTCAGTTTTCCTGACTTATCAAAATGAAAACATCAATGCACAGAGGCGTGTGTTATAACATCGTAATCGGCAGAATCCCCCAAACACGTAGGCATCTTTGGTTAATGAATGTGAGATGTAGTGGCGCGTAATTCTGAGGCAAAATGTGCCTTGGTTCAAAATCCCGTTGTAATGAATGGAATTTTCCGACGGTATTTGAGCTTCCACTATAGTACCACCTTTTGGCCGAATTGCAATTTTTCAGGTGTCATTAGGCCCCCATGGAGAACAATAGCTCCAAATTTGGTATCAATCAGACTTGTGGTTGTAGAGATATAAAATGCA